TCTTCTCTCCTCACAACCACACTTCACCACCATGCACCCGCACACACCAGATCGGCGCTCTCCTCTTAATCGCCACCACTTTCTTCCTCACTCGCCTCTTTGATCAAGCCTTCCCTACTTGCCCTCCCTCCTCTTTGAATAACGACCATTCATCACCAAATGTCGTTCACGTATCCGACGGTGGATCCCTCTCCTGGCCCCAGCGAGGCTACGGGTCCCACCACTCCCTCAAGATCTACGTCTACGAGGAAGACGAAATTGACGGATTGAAAGAACTCTTGCGAGGCAGGGACGGAAAAATCTCAGCTGATGCTTGTCTTAAAGGCCAGTGGGGCACTCAGGTAATTTCACTCAAAAACCAAGGGCTATCTCTTGTTATTTCTCTTGCCATTTCTGATTTTCTGGACAGGTTAAGATACACGGGCTGTTGTTAGAATCAAGATTTAGAACGAGAAAGAAGGAGGAAGCTGATTTATTCTTTGTGCCTGCCTATGTTAAATGTGTACGGATGATGGGTGGTCTAAATGATAAAGAGATAAACCACACTTATGTCAAGGTAATTTTTTTTGAAGTGTCAATCTTTTCACTTATTTGATTCGGACTGAAGCAGCTACATTTTTTTGAAAGTAATTTGAATGTGTTTGTTAATGTTAATTTCTCAGGTATTAAGTCAAATGCCGTATTTTAGACGATCAGGAGGCCGTGATCACATTTTTGTCTTTCCTAGGTATAATAATTATTTGGTGTCAGCTTGAATTCGTTTCGAGATTCGTTAAAATGCTTATCACATATGCATTTTTGATCCATGTGTGTACTTTTACACGATTGCAGTGGTGCCGGAGCTCATTTATTTAGATCCTGGGCGACGTATATTAATCGTTCTATAATTCTTACTCCTGAGGTACCATTTGTACTTCTTGACATACTGAATTTATTTGTTTTAGTTGGTGATATTATTATATTGGTCTGAAGATTATTGTGTAAAGAATGTTGGGCTGTGTGTTATTGTAGGCGGACAGGACTGATAAGAAAGATACGAGTGCTTTTAATACATGGAAAGATATTATCATTCCTGGGAATGTTGAAGATGGGATGACTAAAAGAGGGCTAGCAATGGTTCAACCCCTACCTTTATCAAAGAGGAAGTATTTGGCGAATTATTTAGGTCGTGCACAAGGGAAAGTTGGTCGCCTGAAGTTAATAGAGCTTGCGAAGCAGTATCCGGATAAGGTATGTTTTCTTTTTCTTTTTTGTAACTAGATTAGGTATGTTGTCTTCTGTGAATTATTGATTACCCAAATGAGGTTGTCTCCATGCGTAGAAGGACGTCTAGGATTTTTCACTGTTGATTTAATTTTGGTTTCTGTATGGACTTGGAGAACAAATTCTGAAATATTCATATGGTTCAGTAGCGATCTTTTTAGCTTTTGAAACTGACCATGCTGAGCTGATTGGTCATATGTAGAGCATGTTTTATGTATCTGTGAGAATGGTCATAGTAGGAACACTCATGTTTTTGGTTTGGATGTCTATAGGGAGGGATGCATATTCCAGACATAGACATAGTATCGGCCTTTTCTCGTGCTCATTTCATTGCATAATTTTGCACTTTCAAGCTGAGTCCAGTCTTTATATTTCTTTTGGCAGTTTAGGTTTGTGACTGAATTGGAGACACTTGCATGTTGTTCTTATGCATGTCCTTAGGAAAAGGAACAGAGTCTTTATGACTGTTTGTGGGTTGTCAGTGCAATCTGCTTCGCATACTCAACCCTGTAACTTTGTTTCATGAGATGATGAGTGCTGTTAGTGCTCACATTTGTTTACCAGTGATATAGCATATACATAATGACATCATAAACAGTTGGAATCTCCAGAGTTGAAGCTCAGCGGCCCTGACAAATTTGGGAGGATGGAGTACTTTCAACACCTGCGCAATGCCAAGTTCTGCCTTGCTCCACGTGGAGAGTCTTCTTGGACACTTCGGTTTTATGAGTCTTTTTTTTTTGTCTCTCTCTCTCCAATTCCCCCCCCCCCCCTGTGCACACAAACACACATGGAGCCCAGTTGAAGTGATTTTATGTTTTTGCTAAACAGGAGTGTGTCCCGGTTATATTATCAGATCAAGCAGAATTTCCTTTCCAAAATGTGACTGACTATACCCAGATATCAATCAAATGGCCATCTACTCGAATAGGGCTTGAACTTTTGGAGTATTTAGAATCAATTCCAGGTCAAATTCAATGTGCTTGCTTCCTTGATCTTCTGGATGTTTTTCTTGGTTGTACAATCTAACTTCGAGTTTGTGTTTCAGATGAAAACATAGAGCAGATGATAGCTGCAGGTAGACAAATAAGATGCTTGTGGGTATATGCTCCAGAATTTGAGTCCTGTTCTGCAATGCAAGGAATAATGTGGGAACTTCAGAGAAAAGTACGGCAATTCCACCAATCAGCTGAGACATTCTGGCTGCACAATAGAACGATTGTTGATAGACACTTGGTTGAGTTCTCAAGCTGGGTTCCTCCCATGCCTTTGCCCTGATGATTTTTGAAATGCTTGTAGTTCCTTTACATCCCTGATACTTTGATTTTGGCCATTTTCTTTTGCTTTCATTTTGCCAAGTGCCACTAATTCACGCCCTGTAGAACATTTTTACCTGATACTCTTTTTTTTTTCTTTTAATTTTTTTAATTAAATATGAAATTTATGTATAGGCATTATAGACAGTGCATAGACTTGAAGAGAAATTGTTGATGATAGCGTAGACGACTGTGTTTTTGTTGAAATGATACATTGGTGGATTTTCCTTACGATGTCTATGCATCCTGTTCCATCTCTTCCATCATATGTTCATGAAATCTGGCATTTGGCTATAACATTGAAGGTGTACACGACTAAACTATAATTCAACCTGAAATTAGGTTTACGTCTGGGCGCAATAATTTCCATGGTTTCTCTTTCAAGGGTTTGGCCTTGTGCGGTTTATATAAACAAACGGCTCCGGTCACCGTCCTAAATTCCCAAGCTGCAGGTCATATGGTTCTCTTACTGTGTTCAGGTTCATGGTGATTTCTTGGCACTGAAACTTCTCGAAGGAACGGGTTTTCTTTTAAAAATACTCGGGTGTTTTTGAGGCTGTAAATATACCTTCTCAATGAGCGAAATAGTCTTATTTTTGGGTTCCAGTCCAAAAGTGAACATATGGATATGCCACGTGTGAGGCTAGAAGTGCTGATTTTTTTTTTTATCAGAAAGAATCCGAAATGTGTACAGCTATTGAACCACGTCCACAAATAGGCACTTTATTTAATTTAATTTCTTCATTCCATCAGCAACTAGGCACAGGATAAATCATTGGGGCACAACTTTTAAACAGTGAGCCCTGCACTTTAATCTTCCGGAGAGAGTACAAATCGATATCCTCATTTCTCTACCAGTTTTTAAGGTGCAGAGAAGATGGGAACCACCTTACTCACCAGCTGTGGCCTTCAATGGAGATATAATCACCAACAAATAGTTCCTGACAACCATCTGCTTAGTCATTCACAAGAAAGCTTCCCATCAAGAGCTAAAATAACAGCAGAATCCAGAAAGAATGGCTTTCCTGATGGAGAAAATGAGAAATCCGCCGGGTTTTTGAAGAGAAGGTCAGTTTTGGTTTCTGGGGTTTCTTTGGTTTCAACTTCAGTTTTGGGATCTGCAGGAGAAGGGCTGGCAGTTGTGAAACAAGGCCTTTTAGCAGGAAGAATACCTGGCTTATCTGAACCTGACGACCAAGGTCGGTTTTCTCAGTTCTGCTTCCGCATGGCCATTTGAGTTCTAGATCTCTCTCTCTCTCTCTCTCCCCCTCCCCCCATGTAAACAACAATATGCAACAGTTGGTAATAAGGCTAATTGAATTGAGCATATGTAATATAACCTGCAGTCCCAAATTCAAATTTAGCATCTCGGGTAAATTCCACACGTAGCATGAAGCCATACAAAGAATGCTAACTTAACGAAACTCCTATGAGCTGCATTTCTTCCATCCTTTCTTGATTGTGTATGAATGGTAAACTTCGTTATGCAAAACATGCTCAGACAGGTTGGAGGACATACCGCAGGCCAGATGACAAGTCTGGGGGGCATGGTGTTGGATGGAGTCCAATCATCCCTTATCTTTTTTCTGTGCCTCAAGGTTGGGAAGAGGTGACTTTCTACTCTGAAGAACTGAACGCCAGATTTCTTACTTCAAATTTAAGTCTTTCAACTGATTTAAAATTATTGTTTTTAGTTTGTATGCTTTCACTGAATCAGCTTGTTTACTAACAGGTTCCAGTATCAATAGCAGATCTTGGTGGCACAGAAATCGATTTGAGATTTGGCAGCTCTAAGGAAGGACGCCTTTTTGTCATTGTAGCTCCTGTTCTCAGATTTGCAGATAGTGAGTTCCAACCCCCTTAGCATTCATTCCACTGGGTGCTTCCTAACTTAACATCCCCCCACCCCACCCCACCCCCTTCTCTCTCAACCATGCTAGTATGCAGTCTCCATGATTTCAATTATTCCGGTTAACCTGTGATTTATACAGATCTAGGTGAAAATGCTACAATCGAACAAATTGGACCTCCAGAGAAAGTAATTAACGCTTTTGGGCCAGAAGTAATTGGAGAGAATGTAGAAGGGAAGGTTCTAAGCATGAATGTAGAAGAACATTCTGGAAGAAGATATTACCAGTACGAGCTAGAGCCACCTCATGCACTGATCACTGCAACTGCAGCGGGAAATCGCCTCTACTTGTTCAATGTCACTGGGAATGGTGAGGAGATAATACTACATTTATGCATATCTTGTTATAAAGCTTAAAAATAATGAGCTAAATTATACCCTACATAATTTTTGCAGGTCTTCAGTGGAAGAGGCACTACCAGGATCTGAAGAGGATAGCAGACTCCTTTCGAGTTGTCTAGGCATGCTCTTTTCTAGATTTAAGATAGCCAAGGAGCAGTCAGCATTTTTCACCAACATTGTAATTTTCAACAAGAAAAACAGTTACAATAGTGTATTTACAGAACAATTGAGTTCCACGTATTATCTTACGCAAAGGAACTTTGGGAAAAGCTCTGTAGAGGTTGCAACAAAAAAGAGTGCATTTAAGGCACGGCTGAATTATTTTACACAAAATAAACTATGATCTATATGATCTAATCTTCAAGAAAAGCTCTCCTGATGTTATCTGGAAGTTGATTGATGCATACACAAGCAGAATACTTAAGCAGAGAGCACTAGAGCTGCTGTGTTGCATCTTCTACTGACAACCATTTGCCAAACCTTTGCCTTCACAAGTCTATCATGAATCCAGGGGATGGGGTCCCTATCTAATCAAAAAGCAGAGCAGAAGAATCGCCATATATTGCCCACATTCTTCTTCAAGTGAACCTCCTTTTGTCCTATTTATAGTGACAAGAGGGTAGTGCAACAATGTCACTGGAAACTTCACCCGGATGCCTAACCAGTAAACCAGATATTTTATTGGTTCCTGTAAACCATGGATTCAATCTTTAATGGTAACAGTGACCTAGATCAGATATGAAACTGTTCTGTATTTTCAAGCATAAGTGAGCTGCGTCCAGAAGTCTTTTGAAGCCCCCTATCCGCCATGACCATACTCACCCTTCCAGCCTTCTCCCAGCAACCAGAACCAGCATATATGTTCAACAACAAAGCATAATGAGGATCATTTCCAGAATCAACACTAGAATCCGATGTGCAAACATCTTCTACCACCTGCTCCACCATATCATTATCCATATGAATTCGACAAGCTCCAAGGAAAGCACCCCAAACCGTATCATTTGGTTTCATTGGCATACTCTTGATCACATGATAAGCATCCTGTATTCTTCCTGCTCGCCCCAAAAGATCAACCAGACAGCCATAGTGCTTGATACTTGCTGACAACCCGTATCTCTTCATCTTAGAAAAAAATTCCAAACCACCTTCTACAAATCCCCCATGGACACAAGCCGAGAGAACAGACAGAAAGGTTATTTCGTTAGGCTTCTCATTTGACTCTTCCATTCTCCCGAAGAACTCTAGAGCCTCTTTGGTTTTCCCATGAACGGCAAAGCCTGATATCATAGAATTCCAACAGGCATTATTTTTATTGGCCATTCGTTCAAAGATCAATCGTGCACCAGTTAAATCCCCACATTTCGAATACATATCCACTAACGCATTCACAACAAACTCATTAAGCTTCATCCCTTTCGCACATATCATCTTATGCACATCTTTACCAACATCCAGTAGACTCAACTGGGCACAGGCAGATAAAACACCCACTGCTGTAACTTCATCAGGCTCATAACCCTCATCTTGCATCTTCCCAAAGGCATCCAAAGCTTCCTCACAAAACCCATTATGCGAGTAACCACAAATCAAAGAATTCCAGTTCACCAAGTTCCTAACTGGAACACGATCAAAAATAGCCCTCGCCTCCTTAACATTACCTATCCTACAATACCCTGAAATCATGGACGACCAGACAAAGAAATTCCTCTGAGGCATGCCTTCAAAAAGCAATCTTGCAGCTTCCATCTCTCCTTTGCTCGCATACCCATCAATCATCACAGTCCACGTCGCCACATTTTTCAATTCAAATGGTACCTCATTGAACGTACGCCTAGCGGCAACCATATCTCCACTTCTGGCAAACCCATCTATCATTTCAATCCAAGAAACCGCATTTCTAGTCGACATTTTGTCAAACAAAACTGATGCTGATTTCATGTCCCCATTCTTAACATACCCACTAATCATGGCATTCCATGTCACAACATTTCTCTCAGGCATATACTCAAACAGCTTACGCGAATCGGGTATATCACCACATTTTGCATACATAGAAACCAATGATGTCCCAATATGTACATTATAATCTACTCCGTGCTTTATTGCTTCACTGTGCAAAGATTTCCCACAATTCAGCACGGAAACATAAGCACAAGCTTTAAGGACTAAAGGTACTAATCCCAAAAAGTACACTCCTTTGCTGCGGATTTGATTGTATAAAACAATAGCTTCTTTGTATGATCCATTAGAGACGTGTTTTCTTATACAGGAAGACCAACTGGGGTTTGTTGTTGCAAGGCAAGGTTCAGAGTTGTGATATTTGTAGTATTGAATTTGTTTTTGAGGATACTGTATGATTTCTTGTGGTATAAAGTTGTTTTCTTCATGGCTTGTGCACATAGGGCTAGTGTAATTTTGGAGTTGTTCCAAACAGGAAATGAGAGACTTAGCACCCTTGTCTTTCCTAAGCTACTGGGACATCATTGATAAGACCTTCAAGGTTGGAAATTTTTCTCTGGGAATCCTAATTCTTTACAAAAATAAGCCTTCAAGTTTCAAAAGTTTCCAATTTGATCCCATTTCCTTACAAAATTACACCTTCAACCTTAGATTTTTCACTAATGAAATGCAAATCTTCTTACCTTAAATGACCATTTCTTTTAGTCAAGATTTTTTGTTTTACAGAATTGCTCTATCAACTGCCTCGTATGTTTTTGATTTGTTTTAATTATGCAAGTGCCGCTGATGAAGTATAATTTCCTAATAATTCTTGTTTGGAATAATTGCATTTCAAATGGATTTGATGAAATCTTTTTATTTTTATATATTTTCAAAAAATATTTTAAAAAATAATCATAATTTCAAAAATCTTTTTAAAATCCAAAAACCACCGCTTGAGGGCAGATTGCCAAATTGTAATAACTAAGATTGGAGGTTAGGCTAAGACCGCAAGCCAACTAATTTTCTTTTTACAAAAAAAATAATTCAACAAATATTGTCCATAAATTTTGCATAAAACTTTGCAACAAGCAGTTAGCCGAACCAAATCTTCTTTAACATAAAAAGGATGATGAGAAAATGCAAATATTTAAAAAAAAGAGTAAGAAAAATATGAACATGATGTTCACTCAATTGAGTTTAATCAACTTAGTTTATTTATTAATATAATTAAAAAAAGTAAAAACAGTAAATAAATTGAGTTAAATAAAAAATTTAATAATGATTTGTAAAAAATAAATATTTTTCAATATTATAGAAATATATAATATTTTTAAAAAGTTTTTATAATCTTATTTGATAACAAAATAAAAATAAATAAAAACCTGATAATTTATTATAATTGAAAATTAAAAAAATTAAAAATTTAATTTTTAATAAATTAAATATTAAAAAATAAAATTAAAATAAAAAAACTCAACTTAAATCCACTCTAGTTAATTTATTAAATTCAAACATAGTAATGATACTAAAAAATAAAAAAACTCAACTTAAATCCACTCAAGTTAATTTATTAAATTCAAACATAATGATACTAGAATAAACTGTGGCCATGGTTACGTCTTTTTGAGTAAGCATTGTGATGTTAATCTATAACAGATGTTCCAATCAAATATAGAATTGAAATGTGGAAAAGATGCAATTGGATTTCCTGTCTGGGGTTAATAATTCAACAAATATTGTCCAGAACTTTTGCATAAAATCCTGAAAATTCCTGTCGGTAATGGATTCAAGTCCACTTAGCTTTCATATTCTTCTTTACCATGAAACCTTAGGATGGGTGTTTTTCATATATCATTCATAGTTTTGATGATTAGGCCTAGATTTGTAGGCTTCCACTCTACTCGAATCGATCCAAAGGGGCCTCTCGCCAGACCTGTGCCAACCGTCAGTGCTAATTTTATTCGTCTCTTTAATTACTTCTTGAATAAACATGAAAATCCTTTCACTAAAGAGTAAAGACAAGTCCCTCGAGAGAGATTTAATCATTTCCTGAAGTCTAATATAAGGTGCTTGTTTATCGGAAGATAGTGGAGGTCATGCTCCAGTGCGAGGCGATGTCAAAATTGAAAACTGTGTGCTATATTATACGCGGCTGGCTGCTTATTTTCCAGAATAGAGCTGTGTAATTACCGACCAGTAGCGTTCAAATCACTGGATCAAATTTTAAGAAATTTAAATGAATAATAAAATTCGATCATCATGAAAGATGTAACAAGGAACTTCAAATTATCCACAAGCCAATTCTGTGAAAGAGAAAGTGGGGGTTGATTACTTGATTCGCATATGATGTGATGGATAATGGTCGTTTGCATCGATTACTCTGTTTCCCAGTTCTCGTGTAACCCTTCTACTTAAATATGGATACGGCATCTATTGGCGATGTGCGTTTGGAAATCAAAGCATCCATGGTTGGTCCTCAAAAGGAAAGCAGGAATTCCATTATCTGCCCAAAACATATGGAAATTATGTTGATATGTTTTAATTGATTTAATAAATTTAAAAATAATCTGAATAACCAAAAAAAATATAATATAATTTTCAAAAAATTTCATCTTGTTCATACTGTTGTCAAAAATAAAATTTGTGGAAGTATTTGGTGGCTCTATCAATTTGGTGGAATCAACCATGGAGTTTGAGCTGTTGGGTTTTCTTTTCTGGTCTGATCATAGGAATTGCAGTCTAGGATCATTGCTCTGATACCTTGTTAGAATTCGTAAAATTCCATATGAATTTCCTTTGAACTAAACAACAGAATATACAAGGGGATATATTTTTACAATATACATGGCTAAAATAATGGTTATTTTAGGGATTTGATGCAGGAGCATCAATATCTATATCTATATCTATATATATAATTGTTATTATTATAAAATATAAAAATAATCTCACAGTTAGGCAAGCAGGTAAAAGGATTGGTTCCATTGCATTTTGCAGAACCTCTTGTTCCAAATCTCTGACAGTAAGTACACTTAATTAACGATCTGCCAATGTCGACCGCTGGGAATGCAATGATTATCGCTTATGGAAATTAAACCTGAGAAAGTTTTTTTTTTTGAAAAGTGAATTTTTAGAAAAGTAAATTCTAAAAAAGTAAATTCCAGAAAAAATGAATTCCTGAAAAGTAAAGTATTTTTCGATATTTGGTAATATTATGAAAAATAAACTGGAAAACACTTTCCAGTGTTTGGTTATGTCATGGAAAATGAAGTGGAAAATAATTTATTAATATTTTATTTTTCTCAAGTTTATTAAAATAATAAGAAATAAATTTTACAAATTAAAAAGTTGAATAATAATGAAATTAAAAAAAAAATTCATAAATTATCTCAAATAAAATAAATAATAATCAAAATAATAAAGATCAAATCTAAAAAAAAAGATGAAGAAATTAAAATAATAATAATTAACATTTCATAAAGTATTTCAAATAAAATAAATAACAATCAAAAGAACGAGGACCAAATTTGATAGAAAAAATTTTCAATAAAAAACTAATAGGAGAAAAGCAAATAACAATTATAAAAATGAGGACCAAAGTAAATATAAAAATTAAATTTTAAGAAATGAAATTGAAAAATAAATATTCAAAACAAAATATATATATAGCAATCAAAAGTTTGAGGATCAAATTTGATATAATCAGCAAATAATGATATTTCTAAACTTTTCACAACTTCCGGAAAGTGTTTTCCTCTCAAATTTTTCAGGAAAACACTTTCCTGAAAATCAAGCCAAATTTTCCTTTGACTGGAAAGTGTTTTCTTTTTATCAACTTTCCTAACAGCAAACAAACACAAGAAAGTTTGGAAAGTGATTTCTCAGAAATCACTTTCTGCAAAATAAACACAAGAAAGTTTGGAAAGTGTTTTTCCAGAAATCACTTTCCAGAAAACAAACGCAGCTAAAAAGGAAAACACTTTCCTGAAAACTAAGTAAAAAATTTTTTTGACTAAAAAATATTTTCGTTGACCATAAAGTGTTTTCCGTTAACTAGAAAGTGTTTTTTGTTGACCGAAAAATATTTTCTATTGATCAACTTTTTTAATAACAAATAAATACAAGAAAATTTAAAAAATAATTTTTTAAAAACTGTTTTTTAAAAAATTAATGTAAAACAAATCAAGTCTCATCATGAAACTAGACATCGCCAAAATGGGTGCCGCGTGGAGCCCATTACCATTGATGTCTCAATCAATCATCAAATTGATCTCTTCCTCCAGATTTACGGTGGCTAGAGTGCTTGTAAACATTTTGTCCGTAGGAGAATGGATTTTGTTGGTGGCGCACATGGTCTGTCGTCCTCACGAGACTTCAAGTTCATTTTTTATTATTATGATCAAGAACACGTTTCTCTATACATTTTCTTTTGAATGTATAAGATTATTTAAAGTTATAGAGATAAGTTTATTTTATATTTTTATTTTTTTGAATTTTAGAGATATTATTTTTGCATATGATATTGTTGAAAAATAATAATATTAATTAGATCTTGGATCTTATATTCTAATAATTTAAATACTATGAAGGCCTGGAGGTGGATTTCTCCACCAGCTCATATTGCCCCCAAAGTAGCAACATAATCGGAGGCGACTTTGTTGCCTTCCAGTAAATTGTCTTTACTCCTAAGTTCCGAGAACGGTTTAGATAAAAGCTGATGATTAAGTTTAGCGTGCATGGTGATTTTATAACAATACTTTTTAATTAGAAAAATATCAAAATTATCTACACATATTTCATTAAAATCATAAAAACATAAAGTATAAATTATTAATTTAATATTTTTTAATTAAAAAATAATTTTAAAAAACCGAGACTAATTTGTTAGAGTGACAGTGCATTATGTGTAAATTTGCAATTGGTGGGACTGGCCGGTCCAACTATGAATCTAGCAGGTCAGGATTATTGGAACTTGCATTATCAGCCAGTCACTTTCTGGCATGACATGATTATAGTTTTTGGTGTTTCTTTTGTAGCCTAGTGTGAATTAATTAGCCCTGAAAATAACATTTTCCCATGGTTTCGTATTAAATTAATCAGAATTATGATCGTATCCTGTACATTTATGGTGAGTTATTAATTTGGATACTAATTAACGAAGGTTTTTGCTCTGAAAAAAGAGACGGTGGGTTTCTGAACCAATACAAAATTGTAGAACGAAATTGTATAAGTTACAGATCAGTTCATAAACCAGATATTTCATATTTGCAATTTATGACACAGTTGTCCTCAACTTCATCGGTGATCGCCATGCCTGGATCCGTCCAGCTAAGCAACAAATATATCATATCACAATACAAAAAAGGAAAAGAGAGAGAGAGATCTTTCGCAATGGTGATGGGTTTTTTTATGAGCCAATGGAGCTCTTTGAAACCGCAATGAAAAACAACAGGTCACCTTTCCATGTTTATTACTACATTTATTTATTGACAGATTTCAAAAGGGACAAAATCTACGCTGTGCTGTATTGTATACCCGCTTTAATTTTTGAA